ACAAAATTAGAGAGATATTGCCTTTTAAGTGGCAAAAACTCGCATGAAAAATTCAGCATCCTCGACGCTGCCTCGACAAAATTTGAGAGACCCTATCTCTTCGAGTGTAAAGATTTAGATCAATTTCAATATTGCCCGGTAGTAGCAAATCCAGCTCTATCTAACCCTACCACATACTGCTCCAAAGGTTATGAAATGGGGGAATGGAACCTTTTCATCGAGAGTGTAGATTTCGACGGTTTCGAGCGGGGTTTCGGCAAATCTGACCCACGGACAAACCGCGCTGCAACTGAATGCTTTGCTGTACATTGATGGAACTCGCTTATTCACATCAAATCAAAGTTAGAGGGGTCGTATCAAGACCCCGATGTGAGGGGGGGGGGGGGGGTGGTTTCGTACTGAGGTGACCACTCCTCGGCACGTTTTTCACCCTACTCTGGAGACTACAGAATAGGAAAATCCTTATCCGTGAAGACAATCGGTGTTCAATTTAGACCTGCTGTGCTCTTCTATTGGAGGCATCCCACACGATTTATTTTGCTATGTGACCGTCACACTCAGACCTTTTAGGTACACGCTTAGAAGATCTGCTCCCCTTTGGGAAAAAGTGAGGCTTGGACAGGAAATCCTTTTATAATGCTAGCAAGCGCATGAGTGGTTCACCTAACATCTTCCATGCTATCCCATCCCGAAGCAGTGGCTGAACAACGGCGCTGCTGCTGATGAGAGGTTGTTGTTATATGCCTACCACCTGCAGAAGTACCAAAGGCTGTATCAAACAGAAGGCGCTGAAAACTGTCAAATTCAGCAAAACATTTTGGCCTTCTCAAGAAAAGCAAATCGCGAACCAGCCAACTGAGAACTTCTGTGCGGCTTCGGCCTTGCACCAGGCCGGATCTCCTGTAATTTAACGCTTGACGCTGTTAGGAAAACTCCAACTAGAACGCTCACAACTCGATGAAGTACGCCTGCGCTACGACATTCAAATCGAGACCATTTGTTTCAAAAGTAACCCCGCTCTAGATTTCGAAGCTTAGTTGGAAAGTTCCATCGGATCCACAAGTAATCAGTGGTCGGCGTCTTTTCAGAGGCCAACTACTCTTCTTGCTGAGCAGCATTTTGCGGGTAAAAAGTACGACTAAAAATCGACGTCACTGCCTTTACCAGCTTAAAACTGCTGACTTCTGGAAACACAGCATCAGCTCCTCGGTAAAAGGTTGGCAGCAAGTCACTGATAGCGATGGTCCATTCATTGATAGTGGATATTTCTTTATGTTGAGATTATGTCAACTCGAAATAATGTTCAGAAATGGCACCTATTTGGGTCACGACCTACACATAGTTATGTAGCACCAGTGGTCAAGCGTTCCTGTCACACTGTATGTAGCACTGCGGCTCACCGCTGAGATCAGTCCGCCAAAGAGACTAGCCAAATATTTTTCAAAAGAAATAGGACAAAAAGCAAGCATGATTTTTCTGTTTTACCTCGCCCATCGCAAATGATCGTAGACAAAGATGACAGTGCTTCATTGAGTAGCGGTAGCGCGCTTCTTTCTACTTGACAAACATTTATTATACATCCTATTGCCACCCAGTCCCTTCTCCTCTGCAGGGTCAACCCTATTGCGACAAGCTATCAATTGGGGGAGGGGGGGCGTATTTGGTTGAGCTTGTAGGGAGGAGGTCGTACCCTCCCAGATGCCGGCAGTGGGATTCTTGGTAGGCATGGATTCCAGCCACGAAATCACATATAAACTGAAGCTGGAGTGATGCCCGAGACAACATAGTCGGTCAAATATTGCCAGCACGTTTTGCTGTTGTACGCCAGATAATGATACTAGAGTTATCTTTGAAGCCGCCTTCTCTGTGGACGCATGCGAGCTCTCAAAATGAGTTCAGGTGCAAGCGGCCAGGAGCGCGGGCAGGTTGGCGCACACCAAGACATGAGCGACATCAGTCTGCTAAGCGCAGCATTGCTCGAGCTTTCTACACCACATCGCCCGTCGCCGGACCAGGTCTTCAACGAATAATTTTGCATTTCCGTGGCGATTATCTTGCAAAAGGTTAAACCTTAAAAAGCCTGCCTTCACTCAAGAAAATGCTCGCAAGGATGCCCTCCAAAAAATCGCGCTACAGGACTGATATTTTCGGAGATTGCTCTTTTCGCAGCGAACGTCGGGTACTTCTCAGAAAGATTGAATCTTCTAGTTTGTCATATCGGATTCACCTTCCCAAATTAATGAGTTTGAAGGAAGTTATGATCGTTCAAAGATTGAAAAGTTGCGGTTCCAGAGAAATAGTTCCGCGAACCCTCCAAAAATTAAAGATTTCCGCACGGGACTAATTTAGTGAAGGGCTGACTTTCAGGGAACTTGTCGACTGCTTTTTTAGAAAGCTTGAGAGATTTGTACCTTGAAGTCAGCTGTCGAAATCGACGCCATTGAACAAAGTTATGATTGCTCAAATAAGAAAATTTGCATTTTGAGGAAAATTTGAATTTTTTTTAGATCAAATAACTTTGGCGCAAAAGCTTGAATATGAAGGAAGTTGTAGCCCTAGAAAGAGGGAGGTAAAAATTGTAGTGCAGTTTTGTTTTCTTGCTGGGCGGAAGTGGGCTGTATGGCGGTCGACATAGGACGCTCCGCGGCCGCTGCCGGACCGCAGTGCGCTGACGCGTCGCTTGGGGCCGCGGGCCTGCGGCATTTGAGGCCAGGGGGAAAGCTTGACGGGGGCGGAAGGGCGTGGTGTAGTGACAAGTGGCGCGCTCACCACGCGAGCGGTCCGGGGATCAAATCCTGGGTCGTGAGTCGCCCGGGCCAACCAAGCCTTCCATCCCTCCGGGGTCGGTTACCAGACTTGTCTGGGAGGATAAAAAACACTGACTTGTACATCGGCTGGCCCCGCAAGTCATTGTATAGGCCACATCGCATTCAAACGCCACTACGAATGTACAAATGGAAGTAGAATGCGTGCCGCATCCCAAAAAGGGATTGATCAACGGCAAATGCTTTATCCTTTATCCTTTATTTCTTGCTTATAACTTATTTATTTCAATTGTTTGAGAACAAATGAGCTTTACTTAGAAAGGCTGAGCCTCGTGATCCAAAATCCACCTCCATCTTCCGAAGTACCTGAAATTTAACGAAGAAAAATTCGTCTACATTTCAATATCCCCGTTCGTCACCTGTTCCCGATCAGCAAACGCGCTCCATCGTCAGGGCGCGATTCAGCACATTCAAAACGCGATCAATACGCGTTTCCATTCCTTTGCTACCTCTACTTTTTATATTATTGCACCTATCGGTTTTTTGGGTCTCATCCGGTAAGGGGGGATGTGGTGCGACAGTTCATATCGCGTGAAGTTATCCACTTTTTTGCAGGGGAGGGAAGCTCCGGGTGGGTGTAAAAGTTTAAGCGAAATGGTCCACGCACCCAGGGGATTCCCTCCCCTTGCCCACCACGAGTATTACATACCGGGGGGGGGTCGTATGAAATCGCCCATGAAGGAGGAGGAGGTGGTAAAAAATTGCAAAAAGTACCAACGATAGGGTTGACCCTGCTCCTAGGGCTCGCCAAGAAAAAGGGTCGTAGCTTCAACGGTATGGAAGTTGTGATCATCTGCGAAGCCGTGCTTCTTCTGGAATGCACGGATATGTTCTTTCTTGTGATAAGGCCGAATCTGTATTTGCTCTTCTGTGACATGCAAGAGTCGGTCAATGCAGTATCGGGGGCTTTGTTCTCAGACGATATGGTAAAACAAAGGGGAGTTATAGTTATACTACGCAGATGATGTAGGATACAGATGGTTGATCGGATTACTTATGCCGTCGTATTGGATTGTTTTTGATGCACCAATACCCCAATACGGAATGGCTAATGAGCTCATCACACCAGATAGTCAAGGAATACTCCTTGAATACTAATACTTTTCGTGAATCCAGAAGAACCGTATTTTTGTAGCTGCATAATTGATGACACATATTATTCCACATTATAAAGCGATATCATAAAAAATCACCGTATTAGACCAATTCAATGAGGATGCCAACTGATCGAACAAAAACTGAACTGACATCAGGACATGGCAACAAAACATTTCAATTTATCAAGTATAAATAATAAAATCAGATGTAGTTGCTCTGAATAACTTTTTAAGGCATTTTTAGTGAAGAGCAAGCGTAGATGTATCATATAATCTAACAATAAGGACCGGATGTAAATGTCGCGTGTTTGAGACACTCAACAATAAGTGGTTGGAAAGTTTTCGGCGAGGAAGGAAGTGTTTTCCACATTCACAAGAACACGTTAATA